GTAAATGGTTCTTATTGTTATGCTTTTGTTTATATTATTGGCTTACTTTATATTATGTACATTATAATAATAATTATTATTGGTATATATGTTTTGATTTTATCTTGTTTTATAATTTGCCTAGAGAATCTGAATGGAATAATTGGTTGCAGCATACAAATTTAATAATAAAACATATAATATTAAGATGAAGATCAGATTTGAACTTGAGTCTTCCCTAGTTCGCTCATTTTCTTAGCTGCTTCATTAAGATCAGCAAAAATATACCAGCATCTCCATGACTCGTAAGCACTAGCTTCCCCAGTTATTTATTTATTTAAAATATTTATATGCCACCTATTCCACCAACGGCATCCATCTAAAATAACATGGCAGCTTTTCCCTACCAGTATATTGGGAAACATTACAGCTGCTGAATTTTTGCCCACTACACATTTGTTAAAGGCTTGGGAGCCATGCCGGGAGAGAAGTTTGAAAAGGCAGCGATCCAAGGTGTACGTGCCCCGGAGTAAAAGTCTCGTTTTCAAACACAGAACTGTCTTTTATATTTCAAGCAAAGATCGTTTGTTTTGGCTGTAGAACTTCTCTGGGATTCCTATCCCCCACAAACTGGGGAAAAACAAAGACAAAACATTCCTGGTCTGTTTGGGTCATTTTCCTGAGTGATATGCATTTTTTAAAAATAATCCCGAAGTGTTTCCTGATCTAGAGGTAAGGAGGGAAAACTGACTCTCCAATATTATTAGTTCCATTTTGCAGATGTGGAGAGAGCAGGTGTAAAGCTGAGCACAATCCAGTGCGCTTGTTTTTTTAACCTATAAAGCCCTACACAGCTTGGGACCTCCTGACCTCCATCTACCTGGACGCTCTGATCTGCAACTGGGGCCTTCCTCTGACTGTCACTTCCAAGGGAGGCTCAGAAAGAGGCAACAGGAGGGCCTTTTCAGTGGTGGCTCCTGCAATTGTGCGGTGGTTCCCACTGAGGCCTGCCTGGCATCAGCATTGTCATCATTTTGGCATCAGGTTAAAACTGCCCTCTATACCCAGGTAATTCATGGCTTTCAATTAGCATATGCTGCATTATGTGTGTTGTTTGGATTAGGGCTAGTTTTTAATAAAAATGTTCTAGTCATTAAACTCTTTTTTATGTTTGCATATTGGAATTTTTAGCTGTTTTAAATTTTCATATTGGGATTTTACACGGTGTTTTTATTGTATTTGTATTTTTACAGTATCTTTTGCATTGATTGTTGTGAATCGCCCAGAGAGCTTCGGCTTTGGGGTAGTACAGAAATGAAATAAGCAAACTGAAAATAACCTAGTAATGATGCTTATTATCCCATAATACAGACGGAGCAGAGGATGGGAACCAGGGCTGAAGGAGACGGAGAGAAACGTCATGGAAATGTGTAATACAGGCCACGATTTATAATCCGATCTTGCACTAGGAAAGGCGGTGTCTGTCGGGGATTCAGACCCCGATGCCCCTTTCCCAGCGTCCTTCCCCAGATTGCACGCGGGCTCGCCACGCAACCCTGCGCGGCTCTCCTCGGCGGTCTCCTGCCCCGATCCACAGCATCTCCGCTCCCGCCCTGCAGCTCCGAAGGCGCCCGGACGGGCCCCGGAGCCCGGATCTCCCCCCGCCCCGGAGAAGCGTGCGTGTCGGACGGCAGCCTGCGGCGCAGCCCTGCGCCACCTCCGGCCGCAGCAGCAGCGCCGGACAGACCCCTACCGGAAGCGACGAGGAGCCCGGCGTGACTCCCGGCTTGCCTTCCCTCCCGCTCTCTCGGCTCGGTTTTGGCGGCTGTGCGAGGTCAGTCCGAGGGGGAAGACCCAGCCGGAATCCCAGCGTGCCCCCGGGAAGCCCTCCTTGCTCCGCTGGTTGGCTGGCGGCTGCAGCGGCGCTCCGCTCCCGGCAAGTCCCCACCTTCTCCCCCGCCTTCCTCCTCCTCCTCCTCCGGCCTCCGCCTCCCGTTCTGCTGCCATTGAACGCCGCGGCAGGCGAGGCCGCGCGCGGTCGCCCCCTGCCGGAGGACGCGTCGCTGCAGTTCCCCGACTCGCATCTCGGCTGCAGAGACGCGCGTTTTCACATCCATTGTGCACGCATTGGAAATCAGCCACTGGACTTGGACATTGCGTGCTTGGTTTGTTTTCAGTGCATCTGCTTGGGGGCTGCAGGCTGAGGGCTGTCGTCCCCCCCCCCCCATTTTTCTGTTTTCTGTCCCGTCCACGTGTGAAGGATGTTTCAGTGGAGCCCGGGGCAAGATCATCCACACGGTGTATTCACGCTCTCTGTGTGTGGGTGTGAAAGCTGGGCAGTGAGAAAAGCAGCCAGGAAGAAATTGGCGGTTTTCAAATATGGGTGCTGGAGGAGAGCTTTGCACATATCCGGGCCTGCAACCTTACTTTCTTGGCAGTCCCCCAGAACTTTTAAGTTGATTAAGTCGAGCAGCCTTACATCTTCTGCAGAGTCCACGTACGGGTACGATTACTCCCCCCCCCCCCCGCCACCAACTCCTGTGCAATCTCCTTATCTTCCTTTAGTTCCGCTTTAATTCCATTGTCATCCAACCACTTCCCGCTTCTGATAGAACTGAGGAATTATACATTGCTAATCCTAGTAGCCATATGCATCACAAAATCCTTTTCGGACCAGTGGGACAAACCTCACTGGTTTGTCCCACTGGTCTGATTGGCTTCCTGGGACAAACTGGGGGAGGTGGAGTCATCATGGGGTCATCCAGGTCTTTTGAGGAGGTTCAGATCCTGGGAATTGAGGATGTACAGGGAGCCATGGAGTAGAATTGGTTTTACACCTTGGGCTGAGAAAGAGGTTTGTCTTTCCTCAAATTCTCCCTGCTTGGAAGCAGAGGAGTTACAATGCTTTTTTGCACAAGACATTGATTATGCACTTGTGATTCCTCACTCCCAGTAGTTGGTAGGTGCTTTGCACAGCTTTATCACCCATCTGGTCCTCTCCTGCACTTTCCAAGTATTTTTGTGTCTTTCTTTAGAGCAGTAAAAGTCTGGAATTAGCTATGACTGGTGGCATGGAGCTTTAATTCCCCTATATCTCGGTTCCACCTTTGGTCATGCAATGGTTCATAGAGCTAGGCGAAGAAAGGCACTATTGGAAATGGACTGGACAGTTACTCTTGGCGTGTTTTCCAAGGTCAGGGTAGCACCGACTCATGAGATGAAGATGGTGGCGCCTGGGAGATGGGAGGGTTGGGAATTGAGGGGCTGGAGCAGCTGCAAGAACTGGGTCTGTTCCGCTTAGAAAGGGGGAAAGGAAGGGGAGACATGGTGGAAGTGTTTAAAATTAGGGACAGAATGGAGAACATGGAGAGGGAAACATTTTGCTCCTTTTCCCATAACACTCAAACCCAAAGGGGTCATCCTATGAAGATGACTGGGGGAACGTTTAAGACAGATAAAAGGAAGTTCTTCTTCACACAGGGTGTAAACTGTGGAATCTGCTGCCACGGGAAGTGGGGATGGCCACCAATCCGGATGGCTTTAAAGGGGGATGGGTCAGACTCATGAGAGAGGAGGCTATCGGTGGCTACTAGCCTTGCTGGCCAAGTGCTCCTTCCTCCAGCAGAGGCGGCCTGCCTGCACACACCCGTTGCTGAGGAGCTGGGCAGGTGGAGGGCTTGCACCCATCCTGCTGGGGGGATCCTGTGGGCAGCTGGTTTGCCACCATGTGCATTTTAATTTTATATTATTATGTTTGTATCTCAGTGTATTTTTTGTATTTAGTGGTAATTTATTATGTTCTATTGTATTTCAATGTATTTTATTGTGTTGTAAGCCGCCCCGAGGCTTCGGCAAGGGGCGGCATAGAAATGTTATAATAATAATCATAATCATAATCATGATGGTGCTGGACTGGATGGACCTTTGGTCTGATCCAGCGTGGCTTGCCTTGTTCTTAAGGCCAGCACCTCCAGATTTTCAGACAGACCCTGGGAGAAGGCAGCATTTCGATGAGAAGGACAAAGGAGAGGTGGAAAACGACCCCACGTCCTGTCCAGTCCCTGACCCCCATGATGTGGCCCTGGGATAGAAGAGTTAACGGGTTAGAGGGCCTGTGTAGATCCCAGAGGCTAACCCTTCTAAAGAGGGACCCATCCAGAGGGGTGGGGCCCAGTCTTACTGAAAGGAGGTTTTTCTGAAGTAGTTTCTAGTAGGGCTTTAACTAACCACTCTGTGCATGCACAGAGACTAGTCTTTCAGTTGCTGTGACTTGACAGTAAAGAGCTATTTTGCAAAGAGGCTGCCTGTGGTTTTGGACACTTGAATAAGGGGAAACCAAGCTCTGGACACACACATCTCCATGTGGATCCTGTTCTTAGGGGAAGGTTGTCAGTAGACAAGGGAGAAGCCATGCCAGGCAAATCAGCCTCGTCCCGCCCCGAACCAGCTCCCTGCTCATGTCCACGCCATTCAGATGATGGCTCTTGAGTGGGAACCATCGAAATGAAGGAGCAGCCGCAGAGTCCTTTGGTCACAGACCAGACTTCCTTGTTCTTTTGGACCTTCGGCCACCTCTTTCCAAGGAGGCAGTGGCAGTACCAGGAACGTCACGTCTGAGAGATCTAGAGTGGCATTACATCTCCAGCCCCACCCTCCCCCCAAGGAAGAAATGTAGGCATGTCCTTGCAGATGTGGGGCCTCTTATAATGGAGAGACTTCATAAAACATCTGTAAGTTCTTGCTGCTCTAATGAGGGAGAAATAAACTGTCCAATATAATAAGCCAAGCTTTGTGTATGTTCTTATCTCCACATTGCAGATGAAGAGAGCGGAGGCAGAAAGAGTTATTTCTAATAACACCCTTCAGCAACCCATTTTCTCTTACCAGCTATTCAGAGTATCTCTCTGTTGGAAGCTTCTGCTACCCAATTTTATTCCTGTCTTAATTTTCTTACCTGTATTTACATATGATTATGGTTGGGAAGCCCACCCCACCCACCCATGCAAATTCCCCCCGAACCGTCATAACTGCATCTTCCTCAGTGAAACCCCTCCTGTGGCATTCACAACAGTTCTGCCTCCCACAAGTTCTCTGATGTCTTAGAAACCCGTCTGTCCAGGAGACTTTTCTCCTACAATTGTTCCTTGCCTGCATGTATTTCCTGATGATCATTCAAGTGCATTTTCTGATGCTTTTTGCACACAGAAGACTTTCATATGCTCAGTATGGACTCTCTGGTGGTTTTTCAAATAGATATTCCGACTGAAGCATTTCCCACACTCGGGACACGTGTAAGGTTTCTCTCCGGTATGAATTCTTTCATGGATTTTCAAATATTCACTCCAACTGAAGCCTTTTCCACACTGAAAACATTTGTATGGCTTCTCTTTTGTATGAATTACCTGATGTTTCTTCAGATCTCCTCCTTGATGGAAGCTTTTCCCACACAGGGAACATTTGTATGGTTTCTCTCCGGTATGAATTCTTTGATGTTTCCTCAAATATTCACTCCGACTGAATTTTTTTGCGCAGTCAGGACATTTGTAGGGTTTCTCTCCTGTATGATTTCTCTGGTGAATCTTCAGATTTGAACTCCGACTGAAGCATTTTCCACACTGAGAACACTGGTAAGGTTTCTCTCCAACATGAATCCTTTGGGGCTTTACTACTATGTTTCTGAAAGTAAAGATTCCCCCATCCTCAGAACATTCATGTCTATTTTCTTCAAAATGAAGTTGCTGGTGCTTGACCAAATGTTCTTTCTGATTGAAATATCTGCTACAAAGTGAACATTCATAGATTCTCTCTTCACTTTGAATTCCCTGATTTCTTTTCAGTGATGGTATGCAACTGAAGTCTTTCCTATATATGGGATAATTATTAGCTGTCTCTTTTGTGTGCGTATTGGGATTTCTGTTCCAAGTACCCCCTTCTATTACTGCTCTTTTGTGTTCATCAAGGCATGAATTTTGCTGGAAGTTTTCCTCTGATATAAGACATTCGTCAAAGTACTCCCCGGTATCACTTATATCAGGTTCTAATCTGTAGCGATTCTTTCTATCATACTTGGAGAATATGGGGAATTTATTCCTTGTGTGTACCTTAAAAGAGTGGTCAACCATTGCTTCTGTGAGTTCACTGCATCCCTTCTTTCTCTCCGCCGGCTGCTTTCCCTGCTCTCTGGACTCTCTTCCTTCCCCACATAGCTCCACTGTCTCCAACACATCCCCTTGGCTTATTTCTGGAACTGCACTTCCTGTGTCCTCAGAGGCATTGCTTCCCCACTGAGAATTCGCCATCTTGAGCTGAGTTCCCTTCTCATCACCTGTAGAGGCAGAAAAAGGAATTTTGCCCATGTTCTGCTGACCTCTTTTCAAGATGCCTGTAGCTGCTGTATGCCCCGACTTCCTTCGAAAATGTTTCTCTCTCTCTGTTTCACCCATGTTTCTTCCATCTCTGCGATCATGTCAACCCTCTCCTTATATCGGGGGTGGGGAGTTCTTAGGGGCACCAGCCTATGCCTCACAGTTTTGATGCCTATAACCTCCGTCCTCATTCCTTTCCACACCAGCTGCAACGGGCAGGGCAGAAGCTCAGCCTTTGGAGTCCCACCTCCAAGATCATGGGAGCTTGGTGCTCACGCTCGGAATAATACTATGGCCTCCCAGGTGATGTTGGGAAGCCACAGGATTTATTATTTCATTTTAACTTTATAAACAGCACTGATAGTCCTATATAGGGTTGTGCTGTGCATTATGCAATAGTAAGCACAGCTGAAGAAACCGTACAACCCTCTGGTGCAGCTGTGTTGGGATACTGCGTTGAGATTATGGAATGCGCTCGCCAGAGAGGTGTGCCTGGCGCCGTGTTTATATTCTTTTTGGCACCAGGTTAAAACCTTTTTATTTAACTGTTATTTTAAATTTTAATTTAAAATTTTAATGTTTAACAGTCGCTTTTATTTAACTTATTTGATTGCATTTTTTGGTTGCTATTTATTGTCATTGTATTGTGTTGTTTTAATGCCATTTTAGTGTGTAGTAAGCTGTCCTGAGGTGCTACGCATAAGGGCCGGCATACATAAGTTTTAAATACATACATACATACTGCGCTCAGTTCTCGTCAGCTCAAAAAGGATTCCACACACCATGAAAAGATGCAGAAAAAGGGGGACAAAAAGGGGGTTCTAGCTCCTTCCCAAAGAGAAACACAAAACCGCTGGCAGCCTTTCTGATAAAGGGACAAAAAGATGTCTGAGGAGGGTTTAACAAGCCACTTAGGCTGTCAAGAAAGACGCATCGAAAGAACAATGTCTCCTTGGATTCAGCTCTGTCCACAAGCAGAGGCCTCTCCTTCCAGCTTTGGGAGAAGGCTGTTTAGAGTGAAATTGTGCTGTCCGCTGTGGGGTCACCATCAAAGGGCTGCATTTCATAGAATCCTAGAACAGTAGAGTTGGAAGGGCCAGAAGGCCATCAGGTCCAACCCCCTGCCGTCGCAGGACACCACGTGACACCATCCCATTTCAAAGAATTGTCTTCGGTTTGTGGGACTCAAAGCAAAGAGGGAAAGGACTTGCTCCCAACAAGAGCCCATAGCATCTTTTCATATCCTTACAAACTCTGTAGGGGAATGGTGTTCATTTTGGGAGTCATCAAGGACTTTACAACAGCAGCCACTATGCCTATTCCGGCTCTTCATCTCAAACTTATTTGCAAATCGAACAATAAACTTGCTTCAAATTACAGAAAGGGCCAAAGCCTGCCATGGTCCACGGTCCCCGCCACCGCAGTGAACAGATGGAAGAGGCAAAAAGGACAGGAAAAAGGAGGAGGCTGACATTTTTTGATGTGTCTTCAGTCTATACTTCGTTTAAAGTACCTGGAAATGTAATGATGCCCTTTCATTTCCTGTTGGTTTTCAGAAAAAGCTGTTCAGCATTAGAAAGTGGACCATTCTTTACATCAACAAACGTCAGCTCATAAAATCACAAATCAGACAGGGTATCATTTTTTGGATAGCAGAAGTGCTCCTTACCCAAACAATTGAGATTCACACCATCCCCCTGCAGGATTTGCCAGATGATGGTCTGGTGGCCTGGCTGGGTCGGACAGCGCTCGACCGTCTGCAGAGACAGACTACTTTCCCGGAGACCTGTTAGTTCCTGCCAGCAGGGAAAAGACAGCACAACCTCCCCATCAGAGGAAGAGCAAAGAAAGACAAGAGGCACTCACCCTGAACAATGCATTTTCTAACATAGAAACAGAATGGGTCAGAAGGGGCCTCCTTCTGACCGCGCCCCCGCTCCAGCCGGCTCCACTCACGACATGCCCACCATGGGCATGTCTAGCCTATCTTTGAACACCCTCACCAATGGGGCCTCAGATAAATACTCACATAAGGAGATATTCAGATTTTTCAAGGAGAAAATCGCTCCCCCTCTACCTCAACACTTAGAAATATTCTGAGAAGACAGGTCCGTATTTGCGACATGTGGTTCCTTTTTCTGGGAAATTAATGCCCTTCAAGCCTACACCCAACCTGCCAGCAGGGCGAGCATGTCCTATTGGCTCTGTACCGAAAGGAATGGATCGTTGGCTACCTGTAACAGCAAGCGTGTTGCCCTGATTTGTCTGTGCTCCCAACTCTGGAAGTAACAAACTCACTCACCCGTACGGGGCAAGCCTCTTTCACACCCATTTGGTCCATGCCCCGATCTCCAGGAGCAAGCAAGGAACTGCCATGACTCGGGCACGTGATTCCCCTGCCTGCAAAGACAGAAGCAACAATTTGGAAGGAGAAGCAGTCCATCCCTGCAGGGTTCTTACATTTACCGTATTTGTTGCTAATTTATGTATACAATTATTTAGGGGGTACCCTGCAGCCTGAAAAGGGCACGCCAATGTGCCATGCAAATTAAAACATATAGAATAATAAACAGGTACCCTAACGTCATTCATACGTAAATAAAAAGGCAGAAAATCGCCTTCAAATCTTTGAACAGATCTGTTAAATATTTTAAATGAAAATCTGTGAACAAATATTTCCAGACACCAGGTGGCATAGAAGAAGCTTTAACAGCCTCCCTAAAACTAAACAAGGAAGGGGCCAGCCTTACCTCACTAGGAAGGATGGTCCTTTACGGGTTCCAGACAAGAGGGAATGTTGATACAGGGGCCCTGCAATTCATTATTGGGACAACGTATCTGCTAATATTTGCTTTTTCCTTCCAGTCTTCTCATCTCAGGACCTGGATTTATAATTCCTCCTCATCACGATAACTAGCAAGGCAGTCAGGAACTCTCACTTAGTACGTGTTTATTTTTTCACATTTTCATGTGTTACATCCTACAATTGAAATGGGTTTAATTGGCTTAGTTACCACTTGATCTATACAAGACACTCAACACCATGACAGGGTTTGTTTTTTTTTAAATTTGGCACAAAAGTCAACAAAAGCAAAGAAGCACTTGATGGACCTGGTTATCTAAAGGAACGTCTGCGTCCATATATGCCCGCCCACCCTCTACGATCGGCAGCAGATGCCCTTCTCTGGGAACCCTCCATGAAGGATATTAGGAGGGTGAGCACCCGGAGGAGGGCCTTCTCTGTGGTGGCGCCCCACCTATGGAATGCGCTCTCCAGAGAGGTCCGCCTGGCGCCGTCATTATTTGCTTTTCGGTGCCAGGTGAAGACCTTTTTATTTAAAAGTTATTTTAACGGTTAATTTATTATTATTGTATTTATAGATTTTAATATATAGCCGAGATGGTACCAGTTTTAAATTATTGATTGTATTTTTATGTTTATGGTTGTGAGCCGCCCCAAGGCTTTGTTGCAATGGGGCAGCATAGAAATGTTTTAAATAAATAAATAAATAAATAAATAAATAAACGAATAAATAAATAAATAAATAAATGGTTGCATGAAGATTCACCCTCTGCCCCTAAATCAAGGCTTGGCAGAAGCACCTTTAGCAGCAATTACAGCGTCAGCTCTTCATAGCTAAGCTTCTATCAGCTTTGAACGTCTGGATCTTGCAGGGTTTACCCCTTTTTCCTGGCAAAACTCTTCCAGGTCCATGTGAAGTTGGATGGGGATCTCTGGTGAACAGCAATTTTCAAGTGTTGTTGCAAATTCTCAATCCAATTGAGGATTCAGGGGCTTGTTCTGAAGGCCCTTACTTTGGCCGTGTGTTTCGGATCCTTGTCCTGCTGGAAGGCAAACTTTCACACCAGTCCCAGCTCCCTTGCTGATGGAAACAGGTTTTCCTCCAGATTCGCCTTGTGTTTGGCTCCCTCTGTCTTGCCCTCCATCCTGATCAGTTTTCTAGTCCATGCTGAGGAAAAGTGTCCCCAGGGCAAGGAGCACTGTTGGCTTTGGGCCACACATCGCACTTTGCAGCAAAGCCAAGATGTTCCATTTTGGTCTCATACATCACAGGATCTTCTTCCACATGGGTGCTGTGCCTCCCACATGCTTTTTGGCGAACTCCAAAGGGGCTCTGATATATCAGCGCTTGCTCCAGCAACTGCTGTTTTCTCAGCACTCTTCCAGAAAGCCAGGTTTGTGGAGCACTCGGGTGATGACTGTGGTCCTGTGGGCCATTTCTCCCATCTCAGCCGCAGGTCTTTCCAGCTCATTCTTGGTTGTTTCTTGGACTAACACCCTCCTTCCCCAGTCACTGAGTTTTGCTGCATGGCTGCTTTCCTGCAGAATCAAGGTTGGGCCAAATTCTTCCCGTTTTGCAACAAGAGATTTAACAAGAGACCCAAGCTTGGGATTTTTAAAACCACCCACTGATGCCTTACTTGCTTTATTCTGAAGTTGTTTTGATAGATCTGTGAGCTTTGTGATACTCCTTGATTAGTTATGCTCTCCGACATACTGGATGAACCTGGAGTCATCCCGTGAAGCTGACTGGTGGGAGGTTTCGGCTGGATAAAAGGGCGGGCTTCTTCACACAGCATGTAAAGTGTGGAATTTGCTGCCACAGGAATCGGCGATGGCTGCCGATCTGGATGGCGATAAAAGGGGGCTGGACAGATTGAGGGATGGGGAGGCCCCCCGTGGCTACTGGCCTTGCTGGCCATGTGCTCCCTCCTTTCCCAGAGGTGGCCTGCTTGCGTACGCCAGTTGCTGAGGAGCTGGGCAGGCGGAGGTCTTGCACCCGCCTGCTTGGGGGATCCTGTGGGCAGCTGGTTTGCCACTGTGTACACCGAGTCCGGGACTAGATGGAGCGCTGGTCTGATCCAGCAGGGCTTTTCTTATGTTCTTATGACAAACTCTGAATCCTTCCAAAAACAGGTGTATATGATCAGAGATCACATAAGTCTGGAATTGCACACAGGTAGAGCTCCAGTCAAGGGAATCAACCCTGACTGCTCTTTAGAAGGACAGGAACTAAAGCTGAATACTTTGGCCACCTAATGAGAAGGAAGGACTCATTGGAAAAGACCCTGATGCTGGGAACGATTGAAGGCAAAAGGAGAAGGGGATGGAAGAGGTTGAGGTGGCTGGATGGGGTCCCTGGAGAGGTGGGTGTGGGCTTGGGTATTCTCTGGGGGATGGTGGAGGATAGGAAAACCTGGAGGAATGTTGTCCACAGGGCTGCAAAGAGTCGGGTGCGACTTTGCAACTGAACAAGAGCTCCAATCATCTACCTGCAGGATGTGAACTCCAGAATGTTGTACCAGAACTTATTCAGACATGTCGCAGCAAAGAGGGCGAAAACTTACTCAACCAACAAGTGCCAGTTTTACCTTGTTTACTGAAATGCTGTGCCTGAACAAAAACTGATTGCACCTCCATGGCATTGAGTGTCTTGTGTATGTCAAGTGGTAACAATGCCAATTATATCCATTTTGAGTCCAGGCTGTTACACAACAAAATGTGAAAAAGTCAAAGGGGATGTGCGTGTATGTGTGCGTGCGTGTGTGTTGTGTGAATACTTCTACAAGACACTGAGCTTCTCATCAGAGTGGGATGCTTGTGTATTTGTCAGGCTATGGCTAAGATTCCTTGCATAGATTCCAGGATGTGGCACTTTTGAACAGATATGAAAAGAAGCCGAGCATCCCGTGGGTTCTGCTGCCACACTCAAGAGAGAAATTCAGCTCATCCAGTTGCTCTAAAACTGATACAACAAGTTGCATTTGCTGAGAGCCTCTTGTACACAGATGCAGGAAGTTCTGCACAGGCGCAAATGAAGCAGAATAATTAATGGCTCAGGGAAACTTTACCTGTCATGCTGATCTCCCTGTCACCATTTTGCTTGACTTCTCTGTAGGTGTGTCCCTTTCTAGCATCCAAGGGATCTTCCACTGCATCTGGAGAACCCACACGCTGCTCCTTCAGCAGCCCCTGAAACAGAGGGGATGATCTCAGAACACAAGGAAATGAGAGTAGTAATAGTCGTAGTAATAATACATTGCATTTATACCCCTCCTTTCTTTCTCTCGTAAGGAACCCTTTGTTTGTTTGGTTTGGTTTGTTTTTTGTAAGCTGCCAAGAGTCTTAGTATTGGGACAGCATACAAAACCTTAAATAAATAAATATAAACCCAAGGTCGCTTTCAAGATTCTCCTCCTCGCCATTTTATCCTCACAACAGCCCTGCTATGCAGGCTGGGGTGAGAGTCTGTGACTAGCTCTGTGTTCTCCAGTGAGCTTCAAGGCCAAATGGGAATCAGATACGGATCCCTCAAGTCCCAGGCCTGCAGTCCCCCACTAGTCCATCAAAGGGCTTCCCCGTGCTCCACATGTGTCTCCGAGTGCAATTTCCTTCCTTCCTTCCTTCCTTCCTTCCTTAAGGAAATGTTAGAATGAATTGCTCAAACGTGTTTAAAATCTTTGAAAGAGAGAATAGGCAGCAAACAAGTTGTATTTGCTTCTGCCTATGGTGACTACACGGCTCTTCGCTCAAGTCCTCGCATGCACCAGCTGCCGGGGAAATACTGTCATGGCACAAAACATTTGTCCAAGGATTCTTACAAATTTTCTATACACAAACTACAAAGGTCTTTCCTAAACCCTGTCTGTGAACTAAGCCTGAAACTCACCACCCATGCTTTCTGCTCCCTTCAATCCTGTTCTTTTGTGGGTGCAATCAAACAACTTTTTTCGCCACCAACAATAAAGGTTTCAGGAAAGATTTCACCTGGTTTTCACAAGGCTGTTGCCACACTGTGTTCTCACCAGTGCTGCATCTACATGCTAAGAAAAGTTACCATGCGAATTTGCAAAACAGTACAGGGCTCCCGATGGCCCTAAATAAAATGTCACAAGCTGAAGCTACCTTGAAGGGCTTCTGTGTGAATAAGGGAGAGAAATACTGCAAAGGATTTGACATGCTTTAAACTGTTTGAAGGATGAGGCAGTATTAACTATGAAAGAGCAATACCGATTCATCATTAAGCATGGTTATTAATACTGATTCTGAAAATGTAAAATGTTCTGTGGGAACTATGTACTTTATGAATGTTTACTATTCTGTTTACTACTTAAACACAGTATTTGCTGCCTTGTAATATTTTGCAGTCAGGCAGGATATAGTACATAAAATAATAATTTATATTTATAAAGATGCAAATATATTATGTCTGGCAAGACTGCAAGGTGAGAAACTTCTACAATTGGAATAACTTTTCAGAGCATGGCCAGAGTTCTTATTTGAAACAGCATCTGGCAGCTGGATCCACAGAATTTCAGGCTTTGCCATCTCTTTGTTATTCATTATCACCTAGGATCAGCTTGAAGGACTGCATCCTCTAAAGGCTCCAAAAAATTAAACACTGAAGCCTCACCTGCCACTTCTCCGTCTCAGCCTCCTGCTGGCCCATCAGGAA